GAATCACAAACACTTTCAAATACATGAATGTTTTTGTGACATGGTCTTAATTATATACTACTAACATAACTATAATATATATAATGAGAAGAACTTGAAATATCATTACTAAATACCATTAATTTAAGGAATATGAAAGGTTATTTAGGTTTCAAAGATACTTATAACATATGTATATATTAGAAATATAGTTAGTAATATATCATTGATATAAGGAACATGAAAAGTTATTCGGTTTCAAATAAATATGATTTGAGAATACAAATGATCTTGAACCACATCATTTTAGATGTCCTCATTTTCAAAGATACTTATAATGTAACGTCCGTAGATCAGAGCTAGTCAATTTAGAGACGATAAGCGTCAAAAATGAATTTTTGATGAAAGATTATTTAGAATGAATAATCTTAACCAAGTTGTAGAGTATGTCTCAAGGTTTCCGTACATATAAAGAACGCCGAAATCCGAGTTATAACGAAGAAGTTATGACCCGTCGAAGTTTTACGGCAAAACCGGCACGGCACCGGGAAGCGTAAATAGTGAATTTACGATAGAGCAATATTTAGCCTTAGCGATCTAAATGAAAGTCGTAGAATACGTTAAACCGAGAACGTCCATAAAAAGAACGCCCAAATCTGACTTCGTATGAGAAAGTTATGATTTTTCGAAGTTTCGGCTTAGCGGTATGCAGCCCGAATACTCGATTTGAGATCGAGCGGTTTTTAGCCGAAACAATCTAAACGAGAATTGAAGATCTCGTCATTAGTAGTGCAACGGTAAAAAGACAGACGAAAACGGACGTCGGATGAAGAAGTTATGAATTTTTAACGGACCAATCCTGTCCCGGCCTGTTAAAAATATAACTTTTAAAATAAAGTCAAAATTAGCCGACGAAGTCTAAACGAAAGTTGTAGAGCATAATCTCACCTTCGCGTGGATATAAAGAACGTCGAAAACGGAGCTCGTATGCGAAAGTTATGAATTTTTGAAGATCGTGGCACGCATACCAAAGTTTATCCGAAGAGTACGCCCAGCGTAACTCTTAGTACGCCCAGCGTAATGAGTACGCCCAGCGTACTCCAAAATTACGCCCAGCGTAATCCCAGACCCAGCAGCCTATAAATAGAAACCGAGATCAGCCATTTTCCTTGCTCAAAATCTTCTTTCTCTCTCCCGTTTTTCCTCGTTTTTCGTGCCGGATTATCCCGAAGCCCCGGTATCATTCCCGAGCCCCGAGGCAAGTTCCGAAGCCCCGAGGATCCCGAGAAGTGAAGTTTTCGAGCCGAGACTCTGCCCGCGTAAAGCCCGGTTTTGGAGAAAAAGCCCCGGTTTTATCGGAAACGATTGTTTTCAGAGACGAGGTGTTGTCCGATCATTGTCTTATCAAGTGAGTGCATAGTTACTTTCATCTTACACATAGATATGAAGTATTTTAATATAAACTACGTGCTATGTGTGTATATTGTCTGAATACTTGTTGTCTATGCTGGGTGAAAGATTTTTATACATGTTTTAAAGAATTTAAACTGTATATGTATTTTATATCTACATAATATGTTGGGTAAAACATGGGTAGATGAAATATGAGTTGGATGATGAGTTGAGAGGTGATATAGACCATGAGGTAAGGGTGAGAGGTAAACGATGAGAGAAGCCTTTTTCCCAAATGATGGCCCCGTCATTCAGCAGAGTATGGATGACAACCACGGACTATTCTAGACAATCCAGTGGAACACTAGCAGGCTCGCAACCTGTAGGTGTTGTGAACGATGTGTTCACCCGGTGTACTCTAAACCCTGGCGATCATGCAGACTTGGTGCCTAAACCTTGGCGATCATGCAGACTTGGTGCCAAAACCCTGGCGACTATGCAGACTTAGTGCCTGTTGTATAAACCTTGGCGATCATGCAGACTTGGTGCCAAAACCCTGGAGACTATGCGGACTTAGTGCCTAAACCCCGGTGACGATGGACTTCGTGCCGATTCCTTAGGATGATCCTTAGGAATGAATAAACGAGGAATAGTTGATTCTTAGGGTAGATCCTTAAGAGTAAAGAAGATAATGGGGATGGGTAATTGGGTTGATTGTTTAATTGTTTAAACATAATAATTATATTATTGTGGGTTGAAAACCCTATGTACTCACCAGGTTTCCCAACCTGACCCACTCAGTTCAATTGTATCACAGGTGTTAATATGAAGTCACTGAGAGATTTAAAGAAGATGTAGATCACTAGTGTAAATAAATGTAAGTCCTGTTTATGCTTATGTTTCTGTATTGACGATGACATCCCAAACGTTTTAAAATGAATAAAATACGTTTCTTCGAAAATGTTTTGATAACGTAGTTATCGTGTTTTTCTGGGAACAAATTCCGTAAGATTTTTATTAAAAGAAGTACTCTGATTTTTAAAGCATAAACAAAATCGGTCTTTTCTGGCCGTGATTTTGGGGATGTCACATATAACATATGTATATATTAGAAATATAGTTAGTAATATATCATTGATATAAGGAACATGAAAAGTTATTCGGTTTCAAATAAATATGATTTGAGAATATAAATGATCTTGAACCACATCATTTTAGATGTCCTCCTTTATGTATAGTGTTTGAGAATACAAATTATCTTGAACCACATCATTTTAGATGGTCTCTTTTATAGTATAGATAGATAGATAGATTCAAATGTTTATCAAATCTAAAATTAAATCATACGAATCATACATACTTATAAAGCTAGCATTTTTTTCTTGAATATCATGCATTTGAAACCCCCTTTTTTAACTTCCTCAAACAACATTCATTTGAAACCCCCTTTTTTAACTAATGCAACTCAAAAGTTTTCTTAATTATGATTTAACACTCAAAAGTTTTATAACTTATATTATGTTTAATTAGCATTTAGTGAAAAGTTTACTATAAAAAGGCCAATCTTTTGTGTCTTTTGTGTTGTATAAAATCTTACATGTAAGAAGGATTTGAAGATATTGTGATTCAAAAGTTTTCATATAATTGAAGCATTCACGAACCAAATATGATGATTTGAAGAAATGGGTTATGTCGCATCGATGATAATTGTAATATGATTTTTTCTTTCAACCAAAACAAATGAAGCTTTTCTATTCTTTCTTTATATTCAGTTTTTCATTTAATCTTTATATGTGATTTGTATGTATTACTCAATCTTGAATGTGACTCTCCAAACATCAATGTTTTGCTTGGAATATCTTTCTGGTTCTTCTTTTTCAAGAAAAATATTTTGATTGCAGGTTAGTGAAGAATTGTCATCAAGTTTCTATGGTTGAATGGTGTTAAATGAAAAAAGAAGATTCATAAAATGGATATAGGTTTTTTTGTTTGAGCAAAGTTGACGAATGTTAGTTTTTTATTTTGATTTAAATGTATGTTTATGTAACATCTTTATTTATATATTCAACTACCCAATGCTCTTATTTATTTGATTGTAGTTTTTCTATTTTGATTATGTTTATTTTCTATTATTTTTTTGTTGGGTTATCCTACACAACATATTTAAAAGACAATATTTAAAAGATAACATAATTTTGAACATTTGATATGTAATTATGATAGACTTATCATGATATGTTCTTCATATGAAAGTAATTTATCCATATTACTAAGACAAGAATTACATATGACATTTACGAAAATATATATATTATATGTGATTTGTTTAACATGTATATGCACCTATGTATGTTATAAATTTATAATTAAATATCTTTATGTTTAATAATTGAAGGGATTAAAATAATGCATCAAAACCAATTATTTAGACGAATAATAATAATAATAATAATAATAATAATAATAATAATAAATATAAATATACATTTCCAAGTACCGCATTCATTTGAAACTCACACTACAACTCAAGAGTTTTCTAATTTATGTATATTTATTAGTTACAACTCAAGAGTTTTTAACTTATGATTATTAATTAGTAATCACTAATAACTTTTTATTTTCTTTTCTTTTATTAGGTTGTAAAGTTTTGCTCATTAAAAACATTAATGTATTTAAAAAGATTTGTGATTTAAATATGAAGAATTAATATAAATGTTATAATAGATGTTTTAGTGTTTTTATGTTATTAAAAGTTATAGTGTTTATTTTTCATATTTTTTATTATTCGTTATATATATCTTTTTTAATACAAATGTTATAATAGATGTTTTTCTATTTTTATATTACTAAAAGTTGCAGTTCATATTTTTGTTCATACATTTTGTTACCCATTATATTATCATTCATTTGATATATAATTTACACAATTTTAAACGGTTTATAAAATTATCAAATAATTGTATATATCACAATGACTTAAAAATTAAACTATAATGTTTAATAAATCTAATATGTTAACTATATGTTTTCTTTACTACTAACATTTTGTTTCAAAGTAGAAATATTAAATAATAACTTGGTAAAAGTTATTATTTTAACTATATAATTCTTTTCTCGCGCAACGCGCGGGGATTCTTCTAGTATAAGTAATAAGGTTAAGTTATGAAACTGCACAAACCACTTAAAAACCACAAAACCGCACCGCATACTGCAGTTTAGGATTTTTGTGGTGCGGTTTGTAAAAATTTAAAACCACATATGTGGTGCAGTTTTCGGTTTTCACTATAAACCGCATCAATCCGCGAACACCCATATTAAAAATCATTGCATGCCGTGTTGGAATAATTCAGAATATGAAACATTTTAGGCCAAGGTATTTTGAGAAAAACTTTCCAATTTAGTGTTTTGTGTTAGATTAGGATTTGTTTCCATTCGGTATAAGTAGGGCAACCTTTTATGTTTTTGTGTTCAGTTTTTTATTCCCGTTTCTTAGAAAAGCTTGAGCAATTTTCCCAGAAAAACGTTTGTCCCTGTTCCCTTTTATTCTTCTTGTTTCTTGTTCCTTACCTTGGTGATCAAGGATTATTATCCAGGTTTTACTTACAGGCCTTAGAGCACCAAAACCCTCCATGGCGATGGCAAATCTTTTGTTGAATCCCCTGCTGACGATCTATGCCCCCGTATACACACATGGCGATGGCAAACCTTTTGTTCAGTCTCCTTCTCACTTTAAAAAGAGTTTCTCATATATTCCGCCAACATCCTCCTCCACGCTTCCTCTGTCTCTTTGCCTTTCTTCGAAGCATGCTGCAGCGCCCATCTCTACGCTCCTTAAGGTTAACTGGAATACTATTTATTTTTCTTTTTCATATGTTGTATCTGGTAATCATATACACCATGTTCTCACTCTTAGGTTCTGTTTTTATTTTTCGCGATTTTCCTCATCCAGGAACATAAGGGTTTTGGAGGCAACATGAACTGCAGTGCTTTTTGGGCATTGTCGTTTTGGGATGATGTGGTGCAAACGGATAAAAAGGTCCGTGGACTGCATTTTTTTTCGGTTAAATTAATCTGTTCTTCAATTGTGTTTTACGTGCATAGTTGTGGCCAAAATTTGTTCTAATGGTAGTATGATATAATCAGTGATCTGTAGTCAGCCAAGTTTTGGCATCCTCTACATTCATCAAAGTCAAAATTGTATTCTCTCAATCATCTCCAAAGACAAAGATTTATTAATTTTGACACATACCACTAACCATTATTTTACAAAAACTTTTTTGTCAAAAAAATTCTTCAATGATTATTCTTTTATAATTTTTTTCCCAAAATTAACTAATTTATGTTTTATCTATAGCTATCTTAAATATTTTATAAAGTTCCCTCGTATAATAACTATGTGCCGGTCTTCTTTTTCCTTTTTATGTGTGATTTATATATACCATAACATTACTGATTATCTGCAACATCCATGTAGTTCCAGTGTCAATGTGCGTCCAAAGAGGAGAGTACGGTTTCAGAGACCAGCTATGGTATGCAACTTTTATACTTCTTTTTCAGTCTTGACAACAGGAATTCATTGCATAATATTCTTGAGTTACATTAATTACAGACACACGGGCCGTGAAAACTAAATTTCATAAAACAAAAAGGAGTTCTGGTGCTAAACAAAGTCGAAAGATATACGCGATTATAGTTGGAGCTTCTTTTTGTCTATTTGTAGCATTTTCCTACCAAAACAAACAAAACAAAGCTTCATATCAATGCAGATCATTTTTGGTGCCCTCTTGGAATTGACACAGCAGCCTTTATTCAAATCAACACAAAGGTTTCTTTTTAATATGTTACAGTTAGCCTCTAACTGGATCAGGATCTCGCTTTGGTGGTATGAGCTTTATGTTAACCAAAATATTGGAAAAATAAGAAATAGAAAACCGAGTAAGAAACAATCCATAACTTTTGATGACGTGGAAGGAGTTGATGCTGCTAAATCTGAACTTCTCGAGGTAAGTTACTAATTTGTCCCTTGCTTTTGACTTGGGATACGATGAAAGATTAATCTTGCATGTCGAACTTCTGTAGATTGTGTTATGCATTAAAGGAGATAGTAACTATGTGAAACTTGGGGCAAAATTACCACGAGGGGTTCTGCTTGCGGGTCCCCCAGGAACCGGAAAAACATTGTTGGCCCGTGCTGTGGCAGGGGAAGCTGACGTGCCGTTTTTCTCAATTTCTGGTAGTGAATTGGTCGAGATTTATGCCGGTGCAGGAGCTGCCCGTGTTCGAGATCTTTTCTGGGAGGCGAAAAAACGCTCACCATCTATTATTTTCATTGATGAGATAGATGCTGTTGGAGGCCAACGTGGAACAAGTATGAATTGTGAACGTGACCAAACTTTAAACCAGGTATACATATAGAGGTAGGTTCAAATGTGGATTGACATCTATTGTGCGGACGTGTGACAAAGAAAATATGTGGTTTGATAATGTGAATACGTTCAATCTTACATAACTATTGTTATTATCATACATTCTCACTAATTAAATCGTCTATAAGGTTATTATAGACTTTTTTTTTATTATTTTCATTCTGTCAGAATATTTATTGAGTCGTATTTTGTAAGAATGAAAATAAGTGAAAAACGATGTGTGAGAACAAAATTGAATAAGAATTAGTGAGAATGCATGAAAATGACGATACTTGTGTGAGGTTGAACGTATTCACATTACTAAACAATCTAATCTCTTAGTAATTTTCATATAATAGCATTGTCCACACGTCCGCACAATAGTTGTTCATCCGCATTATAACCTAGCCCCAAGTGGGTGTGTGTGTGTGTATATATATATATATATATATATATATATATATATATATATATATATATATATATAATGCTCAAGGTGAAAGTCAAACAATGAAATAGTTGACACAAAATATGGTTTGTTGATGTGTTATAGCTTTTGACTGAGATGGATGGATTTGAGAAGGGTGCAAAAGTGGTGGTTATAGCTGCTACCAACAGACCCGGGTCACTGGATTCTGCTTTGATGAGACCGGGTCGGTTTTCCAGGAAAGTAATTGTGGGTGAACCAAATGAAGTTGGAAGGCGAAAGATTTTTGGTTTATATTTAGAAGAGGTGCCCATGGAGGAGGACAAACAAGTCATTTGTGACCTTGTTGCTTCACGTACACCGGGGTTAGTTGGGGCTGCTCTTGAAAATATAGCTAATGAATCTATACTACTTGCTGCTCGTAGAGGTTTGTGCTAAATTTAATAACATTAACATCTTTTAATTAAACATGGCGATGTGTTGATTATGTTTAGATATGTTGTTAGGTGGTCATTGTGTGACCAAGGAGGATGTTCTTCAAGCTGTTGAGAGGGCCACAACAAAGATATATAATGATGATTCTGCTACTGCTACTGAAGCTAAGTCACCGTATTTGTTTGGAGAAATGGCACTAGAAAACGTTGGGAGGTATCGATTTCAAACTAATTATCTATAGGATTTGTTCGAATGGCTCATTCGATTGTTACTTGTAAGTATATAAGATCTTTCAGCAGAGTGGAGATAGGTTGTTGATCGTGTTATTTAGACTAAATTTAATCAAAGTGATTTAATCATGGCGGACATAAAATGACTAAAATTATTGCATATGTTCATTTGTTTGGATGAGAACATATTGATATAAACTTTAAAGGTTAACAACAAGGTTGTCAAAATCAGATCCTATATATGATTGTTTTTCGTTTTGCAAGCTTATAACTGTAAAATCCTACCAGAAGGGACAGTTCTAATTTTACGACAATATTTGGCAAGATCCTACCAGAAGGGACGGTTATAATTTCACATTACCATTATGTAGTGTTTGGCGTGTGGGATTGAACGGGACATAATAGAACAAATATGGTTCATGTAGTGTTTGGTATGAATGGGACAAAGAAAAGACAGGACAAAGACCAAGACAAATGAGACTAAATTGATAAACTTTAGTACCATTTAAAATGGTGGAACAAGGTAGAACAAACAACTTTTTACTAAAACACCCTTTATCATCGTTCAAAATCACCCCATTTTTTTCAACTGTCTACCTAATGTCACAAATAAATCTTTTCAATTCACATGAGCAAACCCAATTTACTCAAAAAAACTTTAAATTTGTAATGATCCTGATTATTTTAGATGAAACTTTCATAACGTGTTTTAGAAAAGATGGGATATCAGCCGTCTTCATCATCTTTGGGTCCTACGATGAAAAGTTTATTAAAACCAAAATTGGTTAAACTTTCAATACAATATCTAAACAAAAATTTGAGTATACAAACAAATATAAGAAAGTTCCAATTAAACAAACAAAACTTTTAATTAATCATGATATACAAACAAACAAAAAATACAGTGATATAAAAACCTGGTAAACAAACAGAATACAAACTAAGAAAGTGAGAATCGAGAGTGAGAGTAGTTCATACTTGATAAAAAGTCCTGATTAACCTGGTATACTAAACTGAGAGTCTAAGAAAGCAAGAATCGGGACTAATTTGAATGAAGGAAATTTTCTGAATTTTGCCCCTGCGTGCGTCAGTGTGTGAACTCATAACATAAACTACATAAGAAAACGATTGAAGAAGATCCACGTACAACAAAGCAATCAGAGAAAAAACTACTCACTGAATTTTGACCTTGTGTGCGTATTGGCTTTGCCCTCTCGGTGCTTGCGCTTCAGTTCCAAGAATAGATTTCGCTATTTATTGGGAGTATAAATGTAATTTAACAGTTTAGTTAGTTAGATTGTTAATTACTGTTAGTATTTTGTTAATTAGTAACAGAGTATGTTAGCATTAGAGGCGTATGGTAAACCTTTGTATATAATCTCTTTGTAATCTATGTAGTTAACGAAGTAATGAGAATTTGATTCACTCATCTTTCTTTCCCTTCATCAGTTAATATGGTATCAGAGATATACTCTGTATTCTTCTTCGATAATGACTTCATCAATGGTGGTTTCTTTTCTTCGATCTCTTGATGGTGATTTCGTTTCTCAGCTTAGATTTTTGATCCGTTCTTAGATCTGTTATTGATTTCTCGATCAATTTCTTGATTTTTTTCTGATCATCGTTCACAATAATGTCGGCCCCAATTTTAACACCTTCAGATTCAAATTCAAGTTCGAATCTGAATTACTCTGATTCAAACTCTTACAACGATCCTTTCTATCTTCATAATTCTGATGGACCTGGTTTAGTATTGGTTTCGCAAATACTCACAGGCGACAATTATGCTACATGGAGCAGATCTATGCGTATAGCTTTATCTGTCAAGAACAAGCTCGATTTTATTGAAGGTTCAATTCAACAACCTGATGTTACTGATCAAGCTGCTTACAGATCTTGGAATCGAAACAATAATGTTGTTATTTCATGGATTCTTAATTCAGTTTCGAAAGAAATTTCATCCAGTATCATTTATCTTACCACTGCTGCTAATATGTGGAAGGAATTGAAAGAACGTTTTCAACAAGCCAATGGTCCAAGAATTTTCCAAATCAAACGTGATCTGATGAATCTCACACAAGGATCAGATTCTGTAAGCACTTATTTCACAAAGCTTAAAACACTTTGGGAAGAATTATCCAATTATAGTACTCATTGTACTTGTGGAAAATGCACATGTGGTGGAGCTAAAGAGGTAGAACATGTCATGAGTTTCCTAATGGGGTTGAATTCTAGTTATGCACAAGTGAGAGGTCAGATACTGCTTATGGACCCTATACCTGCTGTGAACAAGATTTTTTCTCTGGTTATTCAAGAAGAAAGGCAATGTAACATAGGTAATTCCCAAACCTCTACTCTTGCCTTTAACATTCGTACTTCCAATAATGGCAACAACAATAACAACAACAATTTACTCTTTCAAAAAACAATAACAGCAACAAAGCTAGATACAACTCTAATCAGTCCAACAACAAAAATTTCAAGAAGGATTCTCCTTTCTGGATGCATTGTAAAAAGACTGGCCATACACAAGATAAATGCTACCGTCTTCATGGTTTTCCCCTGGATATAGAACTCAAAACAATGGAAATACTCATCAGTCTCGTGCAAATTCTGTTGGTTTTGATCAACAAACTTCTGAAAATATGAGTCATCTTCCATGGTCAATGAAGCTTTGACTGGCCTTACACAACAACAATGTGAAGGTCTTATTACTCTTTTGTCTGGAAAAATTGCTTCTGCAAACATGATTACTACCAATGCTTATGAAAATTTGGCAGGTAAATACAGAATTTTAAGTTTTAATTCTGGTAAATATATTTCAAACGTTTGGATTCTTGATTCTGGTGCAACGCAACACATTTGCAATAATATGAGTATTTTCTTAAACATCCAAGCTATACAAGGTACTAGAGTGAGATTGCCTAATCAAACTCTTATTTCAGTTGCTTATAAAGGGGATATACAACTTACCAAAGAATTACTTCTTAAAGATGTTCTTTATGTGCCTGATTTTGAACTAAACTTGATCTCTGTCACTTGTTTAACCAAGACTCAGATGTTAATGGTCAAGTTTTATCACAATTATGCTTTGATTAAGCAGATTTTCCCAAGAAGATGATTGCCAGGGGTGAAGTTCATGAAGGACTTTATTTGTTGGATGTGTCTTCTTCAAGAGTTAATGTTGCTGTCTCATTTCAACAATGGCATTCTAGTTTGGACATCCATCAAATGAGAAGATAAAGATAGCTTGTAAAGATCTCTTTGTTAGTCACACAGATGGTAAAGAACAAGTTTGTTCTGTATGTCCTTTAGCTAAGCAGAAAAGACTCCCTTTTGTTTCCGTGAATAATATTGCAAATAAGCCTTTTGATCTTCTTCATTGTGATGTATTGGGCCCATACCAAGTTACTTCATACCAAGGCTATAGGTATTTTGTAATTTTAGTAGATGATTGTACCAGGTTTACCTGGATTTATATGCTCAAAAACAAGTCTGATGTTCAAAGGATAATACCACAATTTCTTGCAATGGTTTCAAATCAGTTTGATTCTACTGTTAAAATTTTTCGATCAGACAATGCAAAGGAGTTATTATTCACAGAATTATTTCATGAAAAAGGGATTTTACATCAATTTTCATGTGTTGAACGTCCACAACAAAATTCAGTAGTAGAAAGGAAGCATCAACATATTTTGAATGTGGCAAGGGCTTTATATTTTCAATCGAATGTTCCTATCATCTATTGGTCTGAATGTGTTCTTACTGCAGTATATTTGATCAATAGAACACCTTCTAAGATTATCAATAACATCACACCTTATCAAAAACTTTACAATCAAGTTCCTGAATTTTTCTTTTTGAGGAGGTTTGGTTGTTTAGCTTTTGCCTCAACTCTTACTGCAAACAGGACAAAATTTGATCCTAGAGCCAAAAGTTGCATTCTTATTGGCTATCCACCTGGTATGAAAGCATATAAGCTTCTTGATCTAACCACAAGGACTGTTTTTATTTCAAGAGATGTAGTGTTTCATGAAAGTGTTTTTCCTTTCATTCACTCTACACAAGAAGTTCTTAATGATCCTTTTCCAATGTTGGTTCTTCTAAAAGCTTTTGATAATCTATCAATGGATGATGTTTCCATTCCAACGGTTGTTTCTTCTTCTGTCCCATGTTCTGCATCAGTTTCCATACTTGATTCTATATCAGATTTTGTGCCACATTCTGTAACGGATCCTATACCAGTTCCTAACAACACCAGAACATATCCTAACAACACCAGAACATAGAGGAATCGCCAAAAACCTTCTTATTTGAAGGATTATCACTGTAATTTGGTTAAATCCAATTCAGCACCCTCATCTACTTGTAGATATCCTTTATCAGATGTCATTTCTTATGACAAACTTAATTCTACATGCCGTGCTTATACTCTTTCTCTATCAACTCAAGATGAACCCAAAAGTTATAATGAGGATGTTAAGGCTTTGGAATGGCGACAAGCAATGTCAGAGGAGTTACAAGCACTTGAATTAAATAACACATGGACGATTGTACCCCTTCCACAAGATAGAAAGCCATTGGGGTGTCGATGGGTTTTCAAAGTTAAAAGGAAAGATGATGGCACCATTGATCGTTTTAAAGCTCGACTAGTTGCCAAGGGATTCAATCAACAAGAAGGAGTGGACTTCCTTGACACATTTTCCCCTGTTGCCAAGTTAGTAACAGTGAAATTGTTGCTCTCTTTAGCAGCTAAACAGAATTGGCCTTTAATTTAACTCGATGTTAATAATGCATTTTTAAACGGAGACTTAGAAGAAGAAGTTTACATGCAGCTTCCTCAAGGGTACATTGTTCCTCATGCTACTCATTCTTCAAGACCTTTGGTATGTAAATTGCAAAAATCCTTATATGGATTACGCCAAGCTTCAAGACAATGGTATTCAAAATTCTACAGCTTTTTGATGACTTTGGGTTTTACTCAGTCTAAAGCTGATTATTCATTGTTTTA